ACACACACACACACACACACATACACACACGCACATAAACACACACATATAGACACACACATTTAAGCGTAGACATAGCCACGGTCCAACCTTATTTTCGCGCTCTCAGTCATCTATCTATCTATCTATCTATCGATCTATCGATCTATCGATCTATCTAGCTATCCATCCATCCATCCATCCATCCATCCATCCATCCATCCATCCATCCATCCATCCATCCATCCATCTATCTATCTAATAATGATAATAACAATATTATCCTGTGTGATATATAACAGCCTGTATGTACCCATCCCCAGGCCCGCCATGGTGGAGATCACAACGTTATATCCTGGCATACTTTCTGCTCACGGGACAGATGAACATTTACTTCCAACGAATCAACTTCAGCATTGCCATCGTCTGCATGGTGAACCACACAGCTGTTGGTTCGCCCGGACGCTTTGGGACCTCGACCAACCAATCGTTGCAGGCACTCCAGTCATATGACTCGTATTCCTCCAATCAGGACACGAGATTCAATCAGCAACTGCTTTTTGCGCTGGATAACTCTTCTTCAATTGCTTCGTCCCAAAATTATTCCACATACAGTTTACTTTTGTCTAAGAATACGACATATAGAGGCTATGATGGACAGTTATTAAACAAGAGTGGAACTTTACGTCCTGGAGACAAACCTTTGGACTCTTTACTGGGCTTTGGTAAGGGCGGGGGTCAAAAAGTGAGTGGACGTGCTGATTCTAGTAACAGTCGTTTGGGACAGGATGCGAGTGAACTCCCAGAGGAAGGAGCGGAGCCAGAGGACAGATGCTCCAGCCTACGGGCTGATTCCACCGACGAGGAAAAAGAGGTAAAATAAATACCGTTTTGTTTTTAAAATTGAGATAAGATAAACGGTCAACAAGAATAGATAGCATTTGTAGAGCGCATCCCCGCTCAACAACAGGCTCTATGCGCTTTACACTATATTAACAAGAGATAAAAGGATACGATGATTATCAAAAATGCAAACCCTCACCTACAACAAGCAAATCAAACAACAACTTCATTTTGTTTTTAAATATATATAGATGCTGCTTTTACGCCCCCATCGACTCAGTGTAAGTCATTTAGGACGCTGGCTCCGACCATGCCGGTCGAGGCTAACGTGGGCTGAGAATGATAAAACGTCTGAGTAGAACGACAAGGATACTTGTTATAAAACAGTCTCTGATTGTGAGGTGAAGCGCCAAACCCCTAGGCTACATGACAGTCGTCGGTTTAACTGTAAATGATAACAATAACAACAACAACAACAACAACAACAACAACAACAACAACAGCAACAGCAATAACAACAACAACAGCGATATCGTTCAACAACAACAACAACAACAACAACAACAACAACAACAACAACAACAACAGCGATATTGTTTGCAAAGAATAGGTGGGTTTTTTTAAATAATGAAAGAAACGAAGAGGCTGCCT